TACTACTGCTCTGTATCCTCCACTGACACCACAACCCCAGAGAGCAGGCACCTTCACAACCGTTTTTCCCGCCATTCCACAGCTCGCACAGACACCATACACCGTCCACAAACACTGATATGAATTTCGCGGTACGTACGATCAATGCCGCTCACTGTCAACCTTCACCTCCTACAATGCTAGTACGTTAACTGGCATTAATTCCAATCAATCGACCAATTCCCATCCCATTTTACCCGCCGGGCTTCGGTCCTCGTGTCTGTACTAACTCCGGCATAGTGCCAAGAATTCGCGGTGTTATCAGTAGTTAGTTGAGTTGGGGCGTTATCAATCGAATCAATTGGCACTGACATGACGGGGCTAGGATGTGCTAAGGTAATCATTTCTGGTGCGAAGTGACTCATCAGAGGGAGAGAGCCTACGCGGCTGTGGTGTGGATTGTTCGGATTTGTGCGTTAGTACCGGGTGTTGAGGGTAAGTGATCAGAATCTGATAAGTGAATGCTGCGGTGAATACGTGTATTTGTCTTATCAGATTCTGATCACTTTTCGCTACACCCTAGTATGTACATGTATGTAAAGTACCAGGACGTTTCGTTCCGCTCCTAGTAAGTTCGCAGTTCACTAGCTGGCTGGATGGCGCTATACTGCGAAGTGGACGTCTACCACTGGCCGGTCTATACGACGTAGGGCTAAGTTGCATGGGCCATCAGTTTCCCTCTGGACAGCTGAGTGCACTTTTTCAAGGACAGGTTGGAGACCGATTGGAGAGCGCTGCCTCGGGCTAAAACGTTGCATATACATGTATGTAGTACGTACATGTACTTTCCGTATGTACCGATGCCCACTCCTTCCTTCCTTCTTTCTCTTGCACTCTCTTGCACTCTACCCGCGAGGAACACAAACACCTGCAGCAAAAATAATATCCCGAAGCTCGTTCGGACACCACTGCATGACGTCGCCCGTCATGGCCTGCAGGCAATCCATGCGCTTTCCCTCCCCTTAACTTCCAAACAAGCTTTGTATCGCAAAGGCCTACCGTTTGTATAGTGCATAGCATCAAAGAAATTTCCCGACTAAATAAGAGAACGAGTGACTCGAATCGAGACACCGGACTCCACCCGGCCGAGAGAAGGGCGATCGGTTTCCTACATATTAGAACTGGAAGTGTACTTATAAATCAGAGCTTCAGAGATATTTGTACTCCCTAGTCGAGAGCCAGACGCAGGGGGGGAATCAAGAGGCATGGGTTGGCAGGATCTGATTAGAATCTCCGCCTACATGCCTACTCTATTTGATGAAGGAACAATATAACTGACTCGTCTATCTGTTGCTGCTGGACAGTTAATTGGTGGTCAGCACAGGCCGCCCGCATGTATGGCGTCAGTATGCTACTACATGTATCTACATGTATTATGTACGTACTTCAATTAACATTTCTACATTGGGCCTTTTAAATACCAGTGCAAGTGAGTCAGTGATCAGAATCTGCTGAGAATCTTGAGTCAACACGAATGCTTCCAAACCATACAAAGTACAGCAAATAATACTTTTAAACATTAATTACTATTCTTCCCGAGTACCAGAGAGCTTACGGCACCGGTGATGGCACACAGAACATTGAAATAAGCTCTGCTTCCGCGCTTGCCCCACATGCGTGAGTAGGGTAAATTGGCCCCAATTGCCTCATTGGATACATGTAGCCATATTGCCCCACCGCACATAGTAGATCCCGTCAATTCCTTCCCTCCTACCAGGATCTTGGGAGCTCTGCGGGGCCAGCCTCCCAACTGCCCTTTTTCCAGATACAAATGGCAGAGATTGTGGGTAGATTTAAGCAAGGTATGCAAAATACTCTCGAATAGCTGCTACTCGGCCAGCGCCGGCGTTGGCGTTGGCGGAGATATGCTTTTGTCCAGATCGTATCTCCACCCGCCCGCCTGGCAGGCGCACCCAGTGCGCAACAACTCAAAGATGCCGATTAACCGGGAGATGCACGCACGCATTGTGAGACGTCTACCCTCTTGGCACGAGTAGAGGATAAAGAGCATGGATTAGCCTGCGGCGAAGAGTCACGCCTGATTGTTGGATCGAATTTGATTGATTTCGTAGTGTAACTGTTTCCTGCAGTGTAATCATTTTTTTTTTCTGCCGCATATTTTTTGGGAAAAAAGAATGATACATTATAAAGGCTCTTTCCGTCCGCCTTCCTTTTTTTTTATACACTCAGACAGACAGAGAGGGGCATACCTTGAGAATTGGTACGTACCATACAGTGCAGTGCCTACTACGAGAGGCAAACATTTGGCGAACCACAAGAAACTCAACAACCTTGATATCAGATAGCAGCAGCAGCAATGATAACGGAATCCACACCTTCAAGCTCCTCCCCAACCCTCTCAGGTACTCCGCCTTTGAAAGATGACCCCCCTAGGGATGTCGAATTGCGGACCGACCTAGAGAAAGTGGATACGAAAGTGTCGATACACCACCCGTCACAGTTCCCAGACGGGGGCTTAAATGCATGGTTAGCAGTCGTGGGAGGGTTTGCGTGCTTGTTTTGCAGTTTTGGGTGGATAAATTGTATGTTTTCCTCCTTCCTTATATAATTATATCAGCCATATTAATCTATTGCTGGTATAATATAGGTATAGGAATATTCCAAGGCTACTATACCTCACATCAATTGAAAGACTACACGCCATCCCAAGTATCATGGATCTCGTCCCTTGAGACCTTCTGCATGTTCTTCTTTGGTCCTATAGTCGGAAAGTACTATGATGCCTATGGGTCCCGTTTCATTCTTCCTTTAGGAACCTTCCTGCATGTTTTTGGCCTCATGATGACCAGCATCTCGTCCAAGTACTGGCACTACATTATCTGCCAAGGCATTGTCTCCGCAACTGGTGCATCCCTCATCTTCTACCCAGCCCTCGGCGATGTCTCCACCTGGTTCTTCAAGAAGCGCGCCTTCGCCCTCGGCATCATGGCCTCCGGCTCGTCCCTCGGTGGTGTTATCATGCCAATCATGATTGAGCGCCTCATTCCTAGAGTAGGCTATGGCTGGTCTATGCGTATCACCGCATTCCTGATCCTTGGGCTCATGATCATCGCGAATCTTACGCTGCGCTCACGACTCCCAGCGAAAGGGTGGTCTCCGTTCCTGTTGAAAGACTTCACACGACACTTCAAGGAGCCCGGGTTCACGTTGACTGTGATTGGTGCATTCTTCTTCTTCTTTGGGATGTTTTTGCCATTCAACTACATCGTCGTTTCTGCGAAACAGAACGGCATGAGTACCACATTGGCCAACTACATGGTCTCCGTGCTTAACGCCGCCTCGGTATTCGGCCGAATTCTCCCCGGGTGGATCGGTGACAAGGTTGGGCGGTACAATATTATGGTGGTGATCAGCTATGTGTCTGGGATCCTGATTTTCGCCTTGTGGATGACAACAACCGGGAATGCCCCCACGATTGTGTTTGCAGTGCTGTACGGATTCAGCACGGGCGCGTTTGTGAGTCTGGCGCCGGCGTGTCTAGCGCAGATCAGTCAGATTCGTGAAATCGGAGTGAGGAACGGAGCGATGTTCGCTGTGATATCACTGGCTGCATTGACCGGTGTGCCTATTGGAGGTGCACTTGTAACAAGATATGGAGGAGGATTTGAAGGGTTACAGATATTTGCCGGGACTATGCTCCTGTGTGGAGCAACGGCGTTTGTGTTTGCGAGGGTGGCAGTGGGAGGGCGCTCAGTCATGATGGTGGTGTAATGACTGGCTCTAGGTCTATATCCTCAAATGTATTTTGTTCGGGTTTTTTTTTTTTTTTTTTTTTTTTGTTATTGGCTTCTGTAATTTGTTTATTGCATAGTCTGTTCTAGTTATATACGGTTTTCGTTAGATTTGTATAGGATGGCTAGCGTTCGGCTGGGGCTTGGTTCTATCAGTAACCTTTCTCTTCCCCGGTTAATGGGAACTTGGGTTAAGTATAATTACGTATTTAATGAATATTATGATAATAATATATATCGTTTGTGCTATCTACATGTATTGTCAAAGAGCGATACTAATATGTCCATGAGGAGGGATGGGATTTATTGTAACTGGATTGGAGATCTCGCAAGACCGATGTCTGAAGGAGCGGTTATGGGGATTATATACCCTCCTCATGCATCTTAGTTACGTTTCCTCATTAGATCATATCATACCACCCACCACGGTGTCATGTTAATTTCTCCTATCACAGTGTAGGTTGATGTCAGTATAAAGAATAAGGTGCACTTCACACAGCTTTACGAAAGTGCAACCCTTGTGCTGCCCCCTCAGGACCCCCATCACAACCCATCACTCACATCTTCGCCAAGCCAAGCAATATCCGCACAGCCAAAGCCAATCGCCGCGCAGTGGTTTAGTTGGTCAACCCTCGGTATTCCATCTCCAGTTGGAAAGCGTTGGCCAGATTGGGCATGACCATCTCTTATCGCTAGTCACGCTGGACCCTGGGTATGCCACTAGTAAATAAGTTGACCCTTCCTTCCCTGTCTTGCCGCCCCTCACCAACGGTTTTGACTAGAGAGCTTTAAGAAATCCACTTGGCTTGATTGCTTGCCTGCACCCCGCAGGCCTTAGCTAGAGTCGTTGACCGTGACACTGTATTGTAATTTGTGCGTACGTTAGTTAGTCGGTTAGCAGTTACCCCTCTGCAAGTTATTATTCTACTGCTTCTTCTTCTTCTTCTTCTTCGTAAATTCTCTCTTGTGCCTTCCTTCGGAGTCGTACACGTGGATACAGACCCTGTTGTTGCATTCCCAGGTACCCACGCACCCTCAATACGCGAGAGCCTCACCGAAGCCAAAAGAAGAAACGAAGAAGCTCTACAGGACCCTTACATACACCTCAACCTTCAATCCTTGCCAACCGTCACCACCAGCTCCCCACCCCAAACCCCACCTCACACATACTTTTCCTAAAAGCTTCATCACCACTAACCCACCCGTTATATGGATAACTCAATCCAACGTAGTCTCAACGACAAGCTCTACGACCGACGGAAGCTCGGCGCCCTCGAGTGAGTCCACAAGAGAGAGAGAAATAGAGGAGAGGTGGGGAGAACGTGGGTGCATAGCAACATGGTAGCTGACAGAGGCAAGACTAGAGAAGGTAGTTCGGGAGTGCGTCGCGCATGAGGATCATGAACGTATCCGCCTCATCATCGACCAACTCTGCCACGAGTTCGCGTACGCCGTTCACCAACCGCATGCGCGGAATGGAGGACTGATTGGTCTTGCTGCGGCGAGTATCGCGTTGGGGCCTGTGAGTTACTACTGTGTGGTGTAGGAAGTGGGCAGGAGGGCTGTAGGAAGGGCTAACGCAAGCCCGGTGGTGATTATTAGGAAGTTGCGAAATATCTGAAGGAGATTGTACCTCCAGTGCTAGCATGCTTTGCGGATCAGGATGCGAGGGTGCGGTACTATGCTTGCGAGAGTATGTATAACATCGCAAAGGTCGCAAAGGGCGAAATACTCCCGTTCTTCAACGATGTGTTCGACGCACTATCAAAAGTGCGTCCTAGTTCCCATCCAATTCTCTACAGACTAATATACTAAACCCACTTAGCTAGCCGCGGACTCCGAGCTCTCAGTCAAGAACGGTGCGGAGCTACTGGACCGCCTTGTAAAAGACATTGTAGCAGAGTCAGCGCCCACCTACGTCTCCGTCCTGCAGTCTCCGGAGCAGAGCATAATAGACGACCAATCCGATTCGAATTCTCCCACATATGCTTCAGAAGCAGCCTTCAAGACTGCATTCTCGTTGCCGCTGTTTATTCCACTACTGACAGAGAGAATCCACGTTGTTAACCCCTTCACCCGCATCTTTTTGGTGTCATGGATAACACTCTTGGACTCAATCCCAGATTTAGAGCTCGTAACCTACCTCCCGAACTTCCTCGGTGGCCTCTTCGAGTTCCTCTCAGACCCCAACCAAGACGTGCACGTCGCCACACAGCAAGCCCTCGAAGGCTTCCTCGCCGAAATCAAGCGCATTGCGAGCGTAAAACGGAACATTGAAGAGTCTCGCAAATCACGGAACAGAGAGCGGGCGCGCAGTGAAGACGGTAGTGTCAATGACGGCACCGACGAAGGCATGAACCGACACCTCTCCGAAAAGCTCTCCCTTAGCGATACAGGGGATAATACTATTATACCTGATGACGAAAAGAGCGGCGCGGACGGCTCTTGGATACCAGGTCAAGATGTGGTCGTCGCGTACCAGAAGATCTTGGAGATTTTCATTCCATTCATCGACTCGTCAGGTGGGTTCTACTTTATCTCTAATGGAGAAACCACAAAAGCCAGGAACTTACCGCCAGAGATAGAGGAGGAGATTCAACTTACTGCGTTGCGGTGGGTTGATAACTTTTTCGAGATATGTCCAGAAGATATGCTGCCCTTTGTTCCGCGATTGCTGTCGCATGTTCTTCCGGCTATCGCGCATGAAATCGAGGTGGTACGCCAAGCGGCGCTGAAGGTTAATACCAACCTACTAAATCTAATTATGTCACTGAGTGAAGAGAGTGTGTCGCCGCCTATGTCGCGGCAACCGACAAGAGAGAGTACAGGCATGGGAGAGAGGAGCGGAAGCGATAGGCGGGACTCTATGCCGAGACAGCCACTACCAAAGGAGTCAGATTCAATGGGAAGGCGTACACCGTCAAGTATTCCGCCTGCGCCACCGACGCCTGTCCCTCCACCATCGCCCACTCCGCCGAAACAGGCAGATCTGGATTACTCGGCAACAGTTAATGCACTAACTCTGCAGTTTCTCAATGAGCATGAGCAGACAAGGGTTGTGGCCCTGGAGTGGCTATTGATGCTGCATAAGAAGGCACCTCGTAAAGTTGGTCATCATACCTAGCTATATCAGAACGGGAAAATGGTAATACTAACACTATTTGTGTAGATGCTCGCCATCAACGACGGCACTTTCCCCGCACTTCTAAAAACTCTCAGCGATCCCTCAGACCAAGTTGTAACTCGCGACCTTCAGCTCCTCTCCCAAATCAGTCACAACAGTGAAGACGACTACTTCACCTCCTTTATGGTGTCTCTTCTCTCACTCTTCTCTACTGACCGACGGCTCCTCGAAACCCGTGGGAATCTTATCATTCGGCATCTATGCGTAAACCTAAACCCAGAACGGATCTACCGCACACTTGCAGACATTCTTGAGAAGGACGAGGACGTAGAATTTGCCAGTATCATGGTGCAAAACCTGAACAATAACTTGATCACAGCACCGGAACTAACAGATCTGAGAAAACGGCTGAGAAGTTTGGATACAAAGGATGGCCAGACGTTCTTTGTGAGCTTGTTTAGGAGCTGGTGCCACAATGCCGTTGCAACATTCTCGTTGTGTTTATTGGCGCAAGCATATGAGCAGGCGTCGAACTTATTGCAGATCTTGTAAGTTTATCCTCCTCGAGATATGAGCACAGCCCACTAGCACCAAACCACTGAGTGCTAACCCATGCCCCAGCGCTGAACTCGAAATCACCGTCAACCTTCTCATCCAAATTGATAAACTCGTTCAACTTCTGGAATCCCCCGTCTTCACGTACCTCCGTCTGCAACTCCTCGAACCCGAGAAGCACCCTTACCTCTACAAATGCCTCTACGGTCTTCTAATGCTCCTCCCACAATCCTCCGCCTTCGCCGCCCTCAAGAACCGCCTCAACAGCGTCAGCGCAATTGGCTACCTTCACGTTGCTCCGCGCGCCGCACCTCCAGAGCGTGAAAGGCCAGGGAGATTAAAGGGGAAGGTGGACGACATCAAGTGGGTTGAATTGCTGGAAAAGTTTAAGAGTGTCCAGGAGAGGGCAAGGAGACAGCAGATGTTTCATGTTGGCGGCGGCGGTAATAGTGGGGGTACGGGCACGCCACAGGTCATGTCGCCGACGAGGGCGGGGACACCGGCAGCGGGGAAGAGCACCGTGGGGACTGTGAGGCCTGGAGGGTCCGGTTCCGGGATGGGGTTGGGCGGAAGACTGGCTGCGGGGAGGAGGGGTGTCAGGAAATGATTCCTCCGCCTGCACAATCATCCTTAATGTCTTTTCATGTGGCTTTTTGTTTCGTTTTTTCGAGCTTCCCTGTGTGGTAGAATGTGGCGGTGTACTGTAGTGTCTTTCCCTTTCTTTCTTTCCGTTTTTAAGAGAGATTGATCGCGGCGATTCCCTAGGTACGTAGTCGAGCTCTATTTGTCAGTCAAGTATGTATCTCTATTTCCTTCCCTCCCCTGCATGTCTCTCTTTTATTCTTGTTTCTTTATATCTCGTCTGGCTCTCTTTCTTCCTCTTCGATTGGCCGGCGTTTTTTTTTTCTTTGGGTTGCAGCTTAATGTATCTGAGCGCGGGATCGAGAGTGATAAGAGTGTAGGGAATATAATCAGAGATTGAGTTCTTGAATATCTGCCTGAGGAGAGTGGTCGGGGTTGTGATTCGTGGTCTGTTGTGAGGAGTGATTGTGTGTGTTTTGTACGAGTACGTATGATGTGGTTGGGTTGGAGCGATGTGGTTTCTGGGGTGTGGGACAGGAGCATAGGATATCACTCGTGCGTCATACCGGCTCACTCGGTCTTACCCTGTTTTTCAAATCCGCCGCTCAACAAGGCAAAAGCTTGGAGGTCCTAGCGGGCATTACACGCGATAAAACTCAAGGAGCGAGATAGAGGCTACCGATAGACTGCATCAAGACCAAAAATGGCTTGCGAGATAACTATCCCAAATCTGCCGCACGGAATATCACTCGCATAATCACTAGCTCACTCTCTACCATAGACCTACGCTAGCGAGACACATCTACATGTAGCTAGCCACCGCAAAATCGGCTTCTGAGCGCTCCAGACATTCGACTTCCGTGGTTGTCCCCCCCCCCCCCCCCCCCTCGCTCTCTAGGGCGGTATCGGCGCGTGTGCTTCTATCTACGGGAAGCAAACCAGCGATGCCGACTGAGACACCGGTCACGTGGAGATCGATGGATACGTGGTTGAGAGTCAAAACGGGGATTCCCTCTAGATAGATCTCCATGTGACTAAACTTTCGGTCTACATCGCTAGAAGAGCGGAAAGGGTAACTGTAGCATACTTTGCCAATCCTAGCCAGCGAGTGTTTCTGTTCCCAACGAAAGATAACATGGAATATTCGTGCTGATTGGTTTGCACCATAGCTCGTCACGCATATCTGCCTATCGCATCATTGGTTCGCTTCCTCCCGATCTCGCGAGCGCCTCCATGAGGATAACCTGGGGGTGCACTTCACCGGGGGAAGATGTCGCCCGTCATAAACAGTGCACGTGTCACTATTTTAGTGACTTCGGGAATCGCGGTGATATGTGTGGTGATCAGTGGGTTGGGTTGGTTGTGTGATGGGTCGGCATGGGCGTGTGATAGATAAGTGAGCAAGTGGCCCACCTTTAAATTGCTGGGAAATTATTCCTTATTTTGTTCACTTTTAGGCTACCTGCTCCCCTAAAAAAGCGAAGACTAGGAAACGTCAAAACACAAAACGCGTCTTTTCTTCGATTCACTTGAATCATAGGCTATCACTCGCGGAGAAACCCCGTTGGTCATGTCTTGGTTTGAGCTTAAGCTTATTATACCATGGGCCGGCGAGACAGGTTCAAAATTTGGAATAGTGCAGGTTGGACGTCTTGGCATTAACCATCGTCGTGTGGAAAACTAGGAACCATGTATGGTTATGTCATTGCTGCACTGCACCAGATTCTCGGCGTATCTATCCAGGTCGCCATATTCGTAACTACTGCAAGTACATCGTCCCCTTATTTATCTACAATTTACCCCCTACCCCCGCGGATACGGTTATTATTAGTTGAGTGTTATTTGGGGAAACCAGTCAATTATCATATAATTATGAGAAGCCCAACCCTCTACAAGTCTGTCATGATAGATAGGACCCGGGTAGGAAGAAATGTGAACATAGAGGCAGGATGTAGGATATTTCAGGATAAGAAGCCAACGGTAGGGAAATCTTATGAATGCCAGGAGTGAGAATTATAATTGAATCATTGATCATGTCATGTGAGTAATTGATCCCCCCAGTCTTCCACGTTTACTCGACGGGTAGGTCTGCGATATGTTGACTAATTAAGGAGTTTATAGTTATGGCAAGCTGCAAGATCTCTGGATCCTTTCAACTTAGTTGGTCTAGGGTCACCAGGCAGAATCCGTTGGGCACAGAAGTGCACATCAAGCGACAGTTGTTTTCTTGTTGCATCAATTCCCTGGGTTAGGAGCTATATGTGTGCAAGTGTAAGAAATTTAGATTATGAGTGAATGGTGGAAATACAGGTAGCTAGCCCGCCTCATCTCAAATCGCGGAAAACCACTGGTGACGAGCTGTGATTTAGGCTTGGCCAAAGTTGAATCGTGATCGTTCCCATGGATATAGTTACGTAGGGGATATTGCAATATTATTCCGAAGTACTGCTAGACGCACCTTTGCCCAAGTTTTTCACAAAGTTCTAAGACGGTAAATTGACAATCCAATGAGTTGCTCAATAATACGCCCTTCGCACAGTCTTCTAAAGCTGACCAATAGTACAGCACCACATTGGTCAGCTAGAGTAGGCATAGTCTACATGCAGATTTCTATTGGTAACGCACAAAAGATACAGGTCACACTGAACATAAGATGCGTGCCGGTGGCTGCAAAAACCATTTTCTAGTGGTTATTAGATGTAAATAGGGATTATACTGGTTTGAATATTGAAGATCGACAATTCCAATGACTGAATAATTCGACGCTGGTGGGACACGGGGCGATATATGGAAATACCTACATTCCAGCTATCGGATCCAAAGTTATGGCTTACCACTACGAAATAGCACGCATGTAGACGTTTATATGAACACCAATGAGACAAATTCGAGTTACCTATCTGATTTTTTAAAAGTACGGAGAATCTTGGGTACGTACTTGATCAATTCTTTCTCTTATAGGCCTAGGGCTCAGCGCTAAGTCTACGTATAAGTCTATACTATAGACTTAGGAACAGCCGTATCCATATATATACGTAGGTGGCTTGTACATACTTCTATTAACCTGAGGCCAAGGCTTTGGTTGGGTGAACTTAATAAATTAAGTACCTACCTAAGTATGTAGACATGTATTGCACTTTCTGGTAGCATCCCAATGCTCCGGCCGATGGACGGGAACCCAAGTTTTTGAAAAGGGATCTTGACTCATCTGAGCTGGGGTTGAATATACTTCTCAATTGACGAACTGAGTAGTAGACTACGCACCTGATACCCTCGTATGCCCCATGCTGCTTACGCCAGGCGCATGATATACATAATGAGGCGGTCCGGCAGCCAGCAGATGTATTGGTCGCCAATGATTGGTGAACCATGCGCAGTCCCTAACTCGTGTAACTTCTAAAAAAGAAAATAACTTATCTGGAAATAGCTGCCACGATTATTGCTTCCATTACAGTTGCGTTTCAGTTGGTTACATATAATCTTTTTTCCAGTGACACGTCGACGGGTATATGTGCACCTTCATATCAAAATAGGATGCTTTAATTTGCATTCATGTATCAATGAAGCCCCTTAATAGAGTTTGTTAATTGGATATCCAATATGGTACAATAGGAAACAAAGTCCCACTTTAAAAAATGCATCCTAACGACAATTTGCTCATCCACTTTGCACATAAATCAACAGATCTTACTAAAGGCATTGTTTCTAGATAGGATTTATTATTATCCAGGTAAATTCCATGATATCCTTTATGATTCGACTTGGTGTCTGATATTATTTTGCTTAATAGAATCATAATACTTAGAACAACGTCAAAAGCCAGCTCTCATATCATGTCGCAAACTCCTAAGGCTCCCGTTCTGAACATTGAACATCCACCACACGCGAGTCCCATGAGTGAAGCGAGCATTATGGAGGCAGATGCTCAAATACCCGCGCCCAAACCTCATAATCCTGAACCCCTCCTGTTGTTTCCAGATACACCCAGCCCGGCGGAATCAGGTCTCCAGGTCTCCGCCCTGGGACTTCAAAATCATGGAATAACGCCAGCATTTGCGGATAATACCGACCCGCAGAAGTTCGGGACAGCTGTTCAAATATCGGCAACTGAGATCGAGAATCCAGAACTTCCGCTAGTATCCGGAGACAACCTAAACCCGAAAAAGATCGAACCAGCCATTCGGATCTCTACTGTGGAATTTAATACTCAAACATCTCGGCCAGTATCTGCAGATAAGTATTCCGGATTCAGGAATTCCCAGTTGGATATCAAAATCCCTCCCATGGGAAATCAGAATCTCAAACCTCAGGGTATTTCCAGCCCGAAAATGATTGATACGAATGCTCGAGTATCTTCAGTGGATCCCAAGAATCAGGGATCCTCGCGAGTACGAACTTTGAGTATTCCCGGTGTTCAAAGCTCGTACACGTATTGGAGGTCAATCCGCGAAAACTTTACGAAGATCCCAAAAATCCACACGCAGCTAGTCGTAGCAGCTAGTAAAGGAGACGCAAAAAGAGTTTCAGAAATACTAGATCAAGATATAACCCTCCCTCCACAAGATATCACATATTGGAAGACGACATTGCAAGCTGCAGCAGAAGATGGTCGTTGGGAGGCTGTGGAGTTATTACTGAAGGTCGGGAGAAAAGTGAATAATAGTGCCGATACTGTGGATGGTCTTGCTGAAGTAGTAGATAACGTTGCCACAAAGGGAGAAATGACTGCTGTGAAATTGCTACTGAAGGGAATCGCCGCCAACGGAAAATCGAAAGAAGGAAAAAGAACTAACTTACAGTTAGCAGCGGGAAAAGGATACAAGTCAGCAGTGACTTTACTTTTGGAAGATTCTGAGGTCAACGAATCCGCACTGGAACAACCCAAAGGGAGGACGGCACTGCAAGCGGCAGCTGAGGGCGGGCACGAAGAAATAGTAAGGCTTCTGTTGGACAAGGGGGCAAATATTAACGCACCACCGGCACAATATAAGGGGAGAACAGCGCTGCAAGCAGCAGCTGGAGGAGGATATCAGGAGGTGGTGGAGCTTCTGTTACAAATGGGCGGAGACGCTCAGATAAACGCACCCGCATCAGCATCTGATGGGAGAACGGCGCTCCAGGCAGCAGCTGAAAAGGGACACGGAGATATAGTGAAGTTGCTAGTGGAACGCGGAGCCGACATAGACGCCAAACCGTCAGCAATAGGTGGAATCAGTGCAATCGAAGCAGCCAACAAAGGAGAATACAAGTCTATATCAGAGTATTTCAAGCGTCTGACGACTCATGGCTTACATTCGTTCTGCCGGAATGATAAACAAGTCGGCGAGGAGTTCCGTAAACTTCTTGACGGCGAAGCTTCGAAAACTATTATCAACTCAAGAGATAGCGCAGGGCAGACCCCATTACACATTGCTGCAGTTCGACCTTTCAAAAATGCCGTTGTTTTATTGCTGGAAAAGGGGGCAAAAACTGATAAGACTGATTTAGACGACCGAAATCCATTAGAATCAACGATTTTTGAACTACTGAAAGTTCGTGAATTGACAGCATTAAAGGCTATAAAGAAGGAAATGGATACGAAAAAGACAAATTCAGACGCCCAAACCCTTCCAGAATCCGTGACCTTGACTAGAGCCGATGGACTACTGGAAATTATCTTGCTCTTGCTAAAGCATGGTGCTGCTCCTCATGCTCACAACATCGATCAGTCCCTTGCTTGGCGCAAAATATTTCCCTGCCCAGAGGGTGAAAGCGATGAAATCTTTGAGCTAAAAGAGATACGACATCCCGAGACCATCAGCAAGTAGGATCCCTGTACTTCTGTATTCTCTTATTACAAAGCTAACTTTTAGAAAGTTCAGGGTATTCCGCCAAATACAAAGAAATACAGGTAGAAGTACCAAATAAAAAGAAGTCATGTCATCGTATTGAAAATAAGCTCTCGTACAGTCTTCCATTTCTCGCATCAAGCTTGTCACAATCTAAGATTAATCTTTTGTTTATCAAGGTATATGTCTTTTAACGACTCAATCCTTTCACTTGCAGACATGAAAACCGCTGAAGAGTGGATTTCTGATCACAATGCTCCTACGAGATCTCTCTGGTATATATGATATAACCTTAACCACATGCTCTCATTATTCTTAAGTAGTGCTAATCCCGCAAAGTCTCGAGCTATTACAACCTCCTACTGCACCTAGGCCTGGAGAACTTCCACGGCCGGCTACAGTACTGAGATGGTTGCCATGCGACCCGAAACGACTTGATGGGTGGAATACCGACTTACCAAGGTTGACAAATGTATATGTTTCGCCGAGTACGTATAATTCCCTAGGTACTTGAATTGAAGTGTCAAGTTCTAATAGCTTACAAACTTATCCAAAGTTATAATTAAATACTCTATAAAGTATGAATTCTTTATTGTCGTCGATGCTGCAAAGCAGAATGGTCTTAAACTAGCTGGCCTTAAGCTTGAACGTCGGGCTGGCCACATTTCATGGACCATGCTAGCACTGGCGAACGACGACGACAAACGTTCTTCCGAGAGTTACAAGCCCAAAGTACAAGTACAGACCGTCAAATACCGAAGCACCTTAAACCACCGCTGGATTCCTAATCATTCGTTGGAATTCTTTACCTTATTCTTTGATGACTTGCACAGAATATGGGAGGATCTTCTTATTGCATCACGAGATCACCTAGATGAAGACGTAAATATTATCCCCTTTATAACATAATTAAAACGCTCTAACCACGTGGTTTGTGGGCTTTTTAGCATGGTGAACTACTCAGAAGCAAATATGGTCAAGAGCAGACCTCCAAGACTACATTTTACCTGGAACACCTCTTTGCGGACGCGCGAACATGGAGTCAATTCCGGGCCCAATTAACATCACATGTACAGATTTGCAACAAGACACTGATCCAATATAAAGGTGACAGCTTTTTCTCTCGGGAAATTGACTGGGCCGGATGCCCAGCAAATCGATTCAAAGAAGAGCTTGCGTTGTTATCAGAGAGGGTCTTGAAGTTTGAATCGAGATTTAAAGAAGAAATAACTGCTTTAGAGATAAAAACACAAGGACTGGTTGACTTTGTAAGTTTATCCCCATTAATGTCCCCAATTAGACTAGCTAGTTTCGTCTCAGGCTAAAGACCCGTCCAGAAACTAAATCTACTTCAAGCCTACGAGTCTCAAAGGTCGAACACAACAGCTGTTGGCATGAAACGACTCAGCTGGATTACTGTAAATCTTGACCTATATTATACTATATGATTGAATTTGAGCTGATCTTTTCCAAGTTTATATTTCTGCCATCAATGTTTGTCGCGGTATATACCCCTAGCTATCTTATTCCCATGAGATATTTTGTCCAGCTTACTAATATACAAACAGAGTTTATTTGGGATGAACATCGACATACTTTCTGGAGGTCCTAATTGGTCGTGGTATCCTATCCTTTGCGTTCCTGTCTTGGTCCTGGTGATCTTTACATGGTTGGTCTGCAAGTATATTGAGGTATATATCGCATCCCGTTTCCTATGGTTTAAACTGGTTGCTCGTAACACTTGCATATACTAACTATGGATGGTATTAAGGAACACCTACAAAACAAGAGGATGGAGAAAAACAAAGCGGACCGAGATATTGACCTTGAAGCTCGTGCCTTCAGTACCAAAACTAGTACATTCCATATGCCTCATTTAAGCGGGACAAAAAAGTCGAAATACTGCTGAGAGTCATATCTCTTGGGATAATTTCCTTTCTCTTCTTTTCCATTTTTATTTTCACCCTCTCATTTATTTCTTTCATTTATATTTTTCCCTTTGTCTCAATTTGTTTTTGGCCATGCGGTAACGATCCCGTAATGAGATGCATAGTGGTAGGGGGCAGGATTACCGAGGATCCATGAAATTAAAAGGCATCTAACTATATTTATAATAAGAGAAAGGACTGCATAGAGATTCTCCACTAAAACTCCACGGACTACCTGGCATACAAAGACCAAAGAAAGCCAAATCCGAACCCCGTGCACAACATTCACATCTTACGAAAAGATCCGCAGTGGCATTCCTCCCTGCACGGGGTATATACTACGAGCCGGTTCTGGGTCGCCATCCGAAAAAATCGAGGAAGGCTCCTCAAACAATGGGCAACGAATCGATGGATGCTGAGCTCTTTCTCTATCCCTCTCATCAATCCACATACTCTGAGAAAGGGCATTTCAAGGATGATAGTCCAATACGAAGGATGAACTCCATATATTTCCAGGGCTGGGGACGTTAGTTCTTGGCCTGGTTAGCATTTGGCCGAAGGTCGGGTCTCCTATATAGGGGCACAGGGTATCACTCGGTTATAGATCAGACCTAGTAAGTAGCCAGCCAACCAACCATAGAAAAGCCCCACTTTCAGCTGCCAACTGCTACTAATTATTAGTAGTGAAACCCAACCAGGCCTAGTACCGCGCAGCCGCAGCCAATCAAAAGCCCGCCGGGACTCGCATAATTCCATAGCTAGGCAAGATAAAGTGTAGAGTATGTATAAAAGCTTTAATTGGTATGTGTACAGCAGTGCCATATATCTAGCCTTTATGTAGTTTATAAAAAAGCACAGAACCCAAGCTACCAAACGCAAACCTAAATCCCAAATCCTAAAGAAAAAATTCCCAAATAAAAAAATTCCCGGTCTAGTCGATCGCTGCCTCTATCGTTATAAAATAGAACCACTACAACCCGATCCCGAAAGAAAGAAAGTAACACCTTAAGTTCTTCGCCCCTCTCTCTACCAGTCCCCAAGCCCTTGCTTCAACTTCTTACTCTCCCTCCCCTTCCTCGTCACCCGATCTTTCCTCGCATCTCGCTCGCGCAGCTCGGCCTTCCTTTCCTTCTTGAGAGCCGCGCGCTCGCCCAAGTCCAGCCCATACAGCTTGTTGAAGTTTGGGTGGCCCGGCTGGTTCTCGGGAAGGTCATCTTTGTTGATGGGGAGACCCTTTGTTTCCCGTGCGGGCACGGCGGGTGTGGATTTTTTGGGCTTTGAGGTGCTGGGCAGTGCGGGCATGCGCTGCGTGCTGGTGGAGACGCTTTTTTTGGCCATCGTGGGGTTGTGGGGGCGCGCGATGGTGGGTGGGTTTAGAATTAATACAGTACGATGAGATGAGGTATGTGCGTGGGAGGGTAACTAGGTTTTTATGTGCTTGCGGGAGGTGGCTACAGTAGCGGCAGGGGGAATAAGGGTCGTTCACTTGGCCTACATAGTATAAGAAATACCCAGAGGGAGTAACTCTAAGTATTAGGATCCTATATATTCTATGGCGTGTTCCTAAGCCTGGCACTGATTAACAGGTGATAATTGACACCTTTCACGGTCGTATGATCGCTGGCAAAAGAGAGAGTCAGTTTTGCCAAAATCGATCTGGTTAACGATATAATAAAGAAACTGTCCCATGGTATTACCATTACCGGTACCAACTACGTATACATCTATGGTGCCAAAAACTGCGTATTCAATATTCTCTTGCAACACATCTCACACCTTAATTAACTTATGACTAAGAACTAACAATTCAATTGTGGGACGGGGTGTCAGGTGACTGAAGATCACGACACTGTACCCTCCGCTTGCAAGGTGTACTCATCATGATCATTGGCCAGGGGAATCCTTCCCTAATGTCGAGTAGGTATCACTACTTATCCATGGCCTTTCCAGTTTCCCTACAAATATCAACATGTTTTGCCCCTCTTCACCCACTACAGTTTAGGACCTCTATCTAGAGCTTCATGCTTCTCCCTACCCTCGCTTCTGCACCACAAGGCGTTCTTGGCCATGGGGCTCACCGTCCTTGAAAAGCCAATCTGCATATATATCCATTACACCTTTATGGAATCTCACCGGGGACTCAAGTCTCAAGATGGTCTACCAACATGGGATGAACCAAAGATCATAGAATATCACTCGTCCGAGATTCGACTTGTACTGACAGCTATATAGTGTCCTACTTGATCCCGGGGAAACAAGGCGGCTGGATCGAGGAGTACACGCACAGAGTACACGAAAATATATAGGGGCTTTTTGTACATGATCTCCTCTCCGGAACCGACCTACCAACATTTGGGAGATTAGCGGGGCACCAACGCTGTGCACTTCACTCGGACGAAGTGAAAATGCACCCCCTACCACAACCTCACCCAAACGGACGTTGCCAAGAATCGTGGCTTATGGATAAATAAACAAAATATACATAAGCAAGACACACTCAGTCAAAACCCTGAGACACAGCGGAGCAGACTTCATAAATGTCAGTCCGTCGCAATGACAGGTGACCGCCGCCGCAGCCCCCAGGTATTACGCATCGTGAGATTGGGTGCTATGACGTTTTCACATGCCCATAGAAGTAAAAGCCCGGGGCGTTTATATTCCCATGCTCGTGGAGTGAGTGCGTGCTCGTTCACCTCCGTGACTGTCAGCCACGGACGGTCGTTTAATTATCGGAAACGAGAAGGATGCAATAACAACGAGTGATCATGAGCCAGGACGTAATATTGACATAATCTGAGTTCAATTTCTTCCCTTTCTTCCTTTTCTCTTTCACACCCTGTCTAGTCTATTCCCGGCACAAACAAAACACAGCTAAGCTCTAAGTTAGCCCGCGCAGTACAGAAAAGAAAGAAAGTAACATGACAAACAGATCTAACACATCCAATCCTCGAATTACAAAACTTGTATGATATAGCCCCGAGAAAGAATCCATGATGATTTTGATTCTTTTTTTTTCTTGGTAACCTTAGCTTTTCTTTGCTACTGTTGTCT